GACTTTTAGTGATGAAATGCACCTAGTTGATTTTCAACAAACATACCTGAAACTTACACATTGTTATAATAATGTAACTAAAAATATATACTGTATTTACATATATGTGCATGCAGATATATGTCATCAAAAGATCAAAGACAAATGCCAAGGCTACCCTGCTTAGGATATTTAACAATTATCTCATTAAGATGTGAATCAGACAAAAATGAGAAAATACTGCAATTAACAAGCCTGATCACAAGCACACATGAAACAAGAAAATTTTACATGAACTTGGTAAGTCTTCAAGCAGGTCTCAAAACTCAAAGAATTAGTATAAGATAACCCATACTGTCTGTCATATGCAATCACATTAAAAAATTAATACAAAAAATTAATAATTTTAGTAAATAAAACCTACATATCTGAAAACAAAATCAACACAAATCAAATGTCAGAAACTTAAAAATACACAGAATTTGATAATGAACATCTACTTTGGAAAAGTATTTTAAAAAGTACAGATGACTATACCAAACTCAGATTATTTTAGAGGTGAATTCCACCAGATCTTCCATGAATGGATAATTCCAATTTTTTTTTTTTAAGATTTATTTATACATACAAGAACTGGGTACCAGCCAGAGGTATGAGTGTAGAGGATTAACCAGAGACAGAATAGGGGAAGAGAACAGCCAGATCAACTGAAATACACTGCTGAGGGGAGCAGCAGGCAGGACAGGAGAGGTCTACCATGTCACGTGTGTCATCTCCCTGGCCAGAGATCAAACTTGTGCTTCAGTGGCTCTGGATAGCTCCATAGTGCTGTGCTTTACGCCATTACACCATTAGGTAGGGCCCAAAATTTCAATTTTAAACAGAGTTCCAGAAAATAAAGAACATTCCACAACACATTTCATGATTCTAGTATAACCATAATACTAGAACCTGACAAGGCCTATACAAGAAAGAAAAATTACAGAACAATTTTACTCATGCACATGGATGCAAAAATCCTAAACAAAACAATAGCAAATTAAATCCAGGAATATATAAGATAAAATAACATAACCAAGTTGAATTTCTTCCAGGATAGTAAGCATGGTTCAACATTGGAAATTATTTCATTTCAATCATCTCAATTAAGGCAAAAAGAAAATGCAGCTGATCAAATTCCACAACCATTCAACTAAAACTTATCAAACTAGGAATAGAAGAGAAAGTCCTCAATAAGTAAAATTTGAACTTATGATGTAATTTCAGGAAGTCTCTTTAAAGGAACCCGAAGTACCTACGCCCTTTTGTCTGTTTATTCTCTGTTGCCTGAAAGGGGGATTGGCTGACATCCCAGCACCCATCTTGACCTCTGAAGTGACCTTAATCATGGAACTAGATACTGAGCATAAGAGAAGTGGAAGAACCAATATGGATCCTTGATGTTCCTGGCACGGTCACAGGATGAGGTGCACATCTCTTGATTTCTTTGACATGTGAAACTAAGCCTTTCTGTATTTAACATAGTTTATTATACAGCAGCCAAGCCCCATCTTAACTGAAATAACATTTCTATTCTAAATCGTACTAGAGGCTTTAACTTGGGGAAAGGGCAATAAAAAATATGTAAGCATTATTAAGAAATGGATTATAATTATTCATTCCATCCTTTGGATTTTCTATTCATATGTGAATGAATAATTGCAGTTTCTTTCTTAATAATGAAGGAAATACAAAGAAAATTTTTAGAAATAAGAGTGTAGCCGGATAATCAGAAAAGTCACATGTATTTGCATTTAACAGCAACAGTCAGTTAAAACTTGTAATTATGATAAAAAACGAGGTATGTAGGAATAAAGCCAACCTAAAAGTCAAAGCTTTATGCAGAAAACTGTGAAACTTTTGGTAAAGATTTTAAGTGGGCAAAATCGTTCAAGGGGGAGTTATCATTGTTATTTCTCCTGAAATCAATCCAATGACTCACAACAACTGTGACCAAATCCTAACACAGGTGTTCATGGAACCTGACTATCTTAATTTTATGTGGAGCAGCAAAAACCAAGAATAATTAAGATATCAGTAAAAAAACAGGGAGGTAAAAAGACTTGCTCTCAAACAGCAAAAATTATCATAAGACCACAGTACAAGAGTTTGTACTGGTTCAGGAACAGAAAATGGACCAATGGTATAGAATTGAGAGCCCAAGAACAGAACCATGTATGTAAGTAAACTTAAGGTAACCCTGAAGGTCAGTGGCAAAAATGATGCTATTTTAAATAAAAGATGCTGAGACACTAAAATGAAAGCAAATAAATTGGATCATTTTATGACTGCATTAAAATCTCCATTCTAAATGACAGAATAGTAAATATTAAAGACAAACTTTTAAAAATTTTAATATTAAGTTTCTTTGAGACAGATTTCTTGAGTAATTTAAATTGACTTTTTCAACTATATTAAACTTAAGGAAAAAGAATTTTAACATTTTTAAAGCAGGAGCTCTTTCTTATTAAAAACATATATATATATATATATATATATATATATATATATATGGTGATGGCACACAGGTGACTCGGTGATGGGAAACCAACGGGAATTACAATTGAGATTTTAAAAAAAATGTACAAAATGATGTAAAAATAAACTATTATATTATTAAAAAAAATGAAGTCCAAACTGAGAAATGTATGTAGTATTACTATCAACACTAACGTATAAAGTTTTCCCCAAAAATTAGCAAAAGCCAAAAAATGGTAAATACAATAGGCCAGTTATTATGTGAAAACCTATTGAGCCTTACTCCAAACACAGAAACCAAGTAAACTAGAAAAAGAAACCTTTCCTAACCATCAGGCTAGGTCAGGGGGGAAATTCTCAGGTGTTGCCAGAAAAATAGATCCAAATGGAACTCTCCTATACTCCTGATGAGGCACCACTTGGGGAAAATAACTGATTTTACTAGTGAAGTGAAGAGAAGAGGCACACTCCAAGTTCCAGCAGTTCTACTGATCTCCCTTTGCACAAGTGCACCAAGAAACAGGTATAAGGCTATCCACAGCAGTCCTGAATGCAACAGAAAACAACTGCAAATAATCAAAATGTCAGTCAATAATAGAGGAAAATAGCAGAGTTAAAAAAAAAAGCCATGTCAACCTAAATCAATCTCAAAACTAAGCAAAATAACCACCACCACCCCCCCCTCTCTCTCTCACACACACACACACACACACACACACACACACACACACACAGATTGACTGCATTTATACAGGGGTCAAAATAGGCAAAATTAAACAACATTCCATTTTAGGAGTGCTTGCTTGTGTGAAAAATCTTCGAGAGCGTAACACAAATTTCAAAATAGTGTTTACTTCTGACTAGTATAGAAGATTTAATTGAAAAAGTGCAAACTATGAACTGTAAAGTTCAATTTCTAAAACTGAAATGAGAGGTCCACGTGGATTCACTTAACTTCTCTGGAAACTACACATCATTTAGGGTTTTCTCTGTGCATTATACATTATAAAATAAATTTTAAATGACAAAAAAACTAAATTTTTTTTTTAATTATCATCTTGGTTTAGACAAATGCTGTGTACAAGTGTTTTTTTTTGTTTGTTTTTGTTTTACTGTAGCAAGACAATGATGCTCTGGTACTTTCAAGATTTCTCTTTAAAAATCTATTAAACCATAACCTATATAATGTACATCAACTTGCTTCTCAAAGTAGCAAAGTTCAAAAGACGTTAAAGCTTTATTTATAAAGCTGTAAAACTTTATTGCCCTGCACTAATATAACCACTTTTTTATAAGCCAACTGACATGTCCCGCATCTATTAAGTAAATTCTGAAATTTGTTTTAGTGATAAAAAAACAAATACATTAAATGTTAAACACTTAGGCAGGCTATCATTCCTTATGGCGTATCACATTTCATCCTACATCAAGTGAAGTCTCAAAAGATTTTCTTTGCTTAAGGCAACTGAGAGGACAGGTTGGAGATTCCAGCTAGGTATCTTCATTATGAAATGTGACAACGCTGTGGCTTTAGGCAAATTCGGATTCAGTTTCCATCAGATAATATCATAGTAAGTTCTCCACTCTACCCATATTTTCCTAGTACCATCTGCAGGTATTTTTACGAGCAGTAATTCTGGAATATTCCTAGAAAGGCAGACACCAATCCCAAACAATAAAGCTTCCCCAAATCAACAGCCACATGAGTCAGAGAGATTCAAGAATTCTACCACCACCCCCCCACTCCCCCAAATCTTGGAACTGGTTATCTCTAACTCCCAAATCTCCCCTGTAGGGATATCCCCTTAGGACATTGAGAGCAATGGAAAGACAGCCAGGAGAGTTTGTCAATCATCTAGTCAAATGATAGACAGCTGAGATCTTGCAAAAAAATCAGTGTCTAACTCCCTTTACTTTGCGGAAGGGGAAATTATGTCTCACGGAGAAGCTCACTTGCTCAGACAACTGGTAAATGCTTAAATTCATCTCTTCCTTGCCCAGAGGTCCCCTCTACCCCCGCCCCCCCGAATGTTTAAATTCGCTGCGGATGCTAAGAGGTGAGAAAACATGCACCTCTTTAGTGTGTCCAGTTGGTCAGGTCTAGAAAAGGTCATAATCAGTTGAACCCCCTATTCTCACAGGTGGAGAAAGTTAAGGCTAGAAAGTGACTAGGCTTAGGCTGTAATTCACCGACCCTCTGCTTCAGAGCAATTAAAGACTGACAAAGGCGATGGAGATCACTGGGGACCCAATTTCCCATTTCCAAGAAAAAGTGTGTCCAAATAATAATAATAAAATGAATCTTTCCCTAAATATCATTCAGCAAGTATCCCAGGTTGGCACCACAGAACCGGTAAGAGAAGTAGGGTATCGCCAACAACCAATACGCAGCAAGGAGAAAGCTACCGTGCAGGAGGCATTAACTCTCGCCTCTCCCTTCCGCAAACGTTGGTGGAAAGAAAGAGAAATAATAAGGTTGAGGTGCCTCCCGCGAGAAGAGGTACCTGAGGCTTGCGCCGCAATCCCCCGCCGCACCCGCACCGGAGCCCGAACTCCGGCTTCCGGGGTTAAGTAGCGGCACCGAGGCCCGAAAATACCCGTGGGAGCCTGAGGCCCCGCCCCACTCAAGACCCGCCCCCACTGTCCATTTCACTGTGGACTGGACAACTTCCGAGACGCCCAGCGTCTCTAAGCAGCCGACGCTACATCCGGAAGCATCACGCACTTCTCCATTCCTTTCCGGGTCGGCGCGAGTACGCTCGACGTTTTCCCGCGTTTGATTGGCAGAGCGCAAATAGTAGCCACCGCTGACTGGTGCCACGGAAATTGGCCCCATAAGTGCCCGCGGGGCGCGAAGGGTCGGTTGTTTGTTTCCCGCTGGCCGCTGCACTTACGCTACAATCATGATGGACGTTATGGAGTTACCCAGGCCGCGCGTCAACACCAGCATGCTAGCTCAGTTCATCGACCAGCCGGTCTGCTTCGTAGGGAGACTGGAAAAGGTGCGCGCGCTTGCTGCTCAGACTGCTGGGTCCGAGGCGGAAGGGCAAGCCAGTGGCTGCCTGTGTGGCTGCCTCCGGCTGGGTAACCCCAGTGAGGCGGGAAAAAAAAACCTAGAGCAGGATTATGCAATCGATTGCTTTGCTTTGCGGGAGGGAATTATTTTTTTTGGCCTACTTTTTAGTAATTTAAGTACAGCGCATTTTGGGGACCCTAGAGCGGAATCGGAATGTTTTCAAATGTTCTCCGTTAATTCCAGCGCTTCCCTCCCCGCGTTGTGTTTTCATAATTGCCACTTTTACCTGAAGACTGTTAGATAGCCAGACTTGACAACTAATTCTCTTGCAGTTTTCTCTTCTCAAACCTTGCAGATCCCACAGCACTTTGTTGCCTTTCCCATTGTGAGAGTTTAGTTCTCTCGTCCTACTAGTAGTGGAAACAAATCCGGAGTGTTGGAATCTGAATTGAGCAAGTAGAGGGAAACAAAAATAACATAATGGCTTACGTAGTAGCTTATTTCAACCACACAATTTCTTCGTGAAATAGGTGTTACTCAGATTTCACAAGTATGGAAACTAGATGTTGTGTCTAGTTTAACTGAAATGCTCGAGGTATACAAGTGACAGATCTGTCTGCAGTTTTTGTATTTGTTTTACAGGAGTAGAATTCACATCTTGATAACCAGTTCCCTTTACTTCATCATTCCTAATCCTTAAAATATATTCTCGGTACTCTCTAAAAAATGGGTGCAAGTAGATCTCACTTTTGCCTAATATAGACCCCCCACACACACACACATACACACAGTTTGTTCTTAGCATAGAGTGGACAGATTGGTACCTAAATACAGGACATAGTTGTGCTAAAAAATATATCAAAGTTCAGATTTAACTGGGTAGATCTGATAACACAAGATTATAATTAGAACTAAGTGAGCTATTCAGAAAGCAATTGTTTTGTGTCTATTGACTTAAGCTTGCGTCCACCTCATCTTGAGAAATTTTTAATATATCTCTTTTAATGAAATTTTCAAAGATTTGTTTTTTTTAATTTTTTTTTTTTTTAGATTCATCCTACTGGCAAAATGTTTATTCTTTCAGATGGAGAAGGGAAAAATGCAACCATTGAGTTGATGGAACCGGTATGTTTAATTACTAATTTGATCTTTGTTATAGTTAATTCTTCATCCTGGTTTGGTTTGTTGCTAATGTTTCTGATTCTTAGATGTACAAAGGACTGTCTTATAAAACCTTCCTGACTCTGAAATTAAATTTTGTATTCTTTTATATTTCCTTAAAATTTCTAACCGGGCCCTCCCTGGTGGCGCAGTGGCTTAAAGCACAGCACTGAGAATCTAAAGCCACTTCCGCATGAGTTCGATTCCCACCTGCCCCGGAGGTGACCACATGGCGTGTCAGACCTCTTCTGACCCCCCGCTGCTCCCCTCAGCAGTGTACTTCATCGATCTGCCTGTTCTGCTCCCCACTCTGTCTCTGGTGAAGCCTCCCACCGCCCAGAGCCTCTGGCCTGTACCCCAGTTCTGTATGCACAAATAAATAAATCTTAAAAAAAAAAAAAAAAGAATTTCTAACCAATGATTCTTTGGACTCCATGAGTTTTTAACATCCCTTTAAATTCTTTAAGACAATTCTCATTCCTTATCAGAGATCAGAGAAGTATATAAGAAAACCTCTGATTAAATCACTCCTTCCTTCCACAAGCATCTTCCATTTTTTTAAATTTTGCCTATTTTTGCTTATATGCTAACTTCATAAAACCAACTTCAGAAAATGTTGATAATAGAAGCTTCCTTTTAGTATTTTTAAATACATTACTTCTTGTAGAAATGTTTGGTTTTCTCTATTTTTAAGTGAGGTGATCTTCAATTTAAACATATTTGGGCCTGCAACTGCTGCTAAAGATTGTAAGACTGAGGATATGCTGAGAGGAAGTACTTAAATATTTAACAATCATTTCTGTTTCTACATAGTTAAGTTTTTTAAATTTACTTTGTTACATGCATTGAAAGACTGTATAACAATTTTCCAAGTTAAATATGAAAATACCATGTTCTTTGTGTTAGCTTGATGGAGAAATCTCTGGGATTGTGGAAGTAGTTGGAAAAGTAACCGCCAAAGCAACTATTATGTGTGCATCCTATATCCAGTTTAAAGAAGATAATCACCCTTTTGGTAGGTAAAATATTCCAGCATTTGGTAGTTTTGTGTAATTAGAAGGGGAAAAGAATTTGACTCTTAGTATATGTATTTGGTCTTATGGTCTCAGTTCCACTTCATTTCCAATTTCTAGAGTTTTCTGATTCCCTGAAAAATGGGGAGACATTTTAGCCTGCTTCTAAATAGTGTTTGCATCGGTAAAAAACACAGTAAAAATAGATTAATTCCTACCTAAAGACAGTTTTAATATAGGGCAAAACAAAATGTTAAGGTTTGTTTTGTTTTACTGTATTCATTGAAGGAATCAAATAATGTGTAACATTTAAAACACAACCATGCAAGAGCTACATCAGAATGGATCATCGTCTGTACCCATATCTTTATTTTGGAGTTACAGTTAAGTAAGTAAACATGAAAATGATATCAGTTTCAGAAGATAGATTGTGAAAATAAGTTAACTTCTAAAGGAGAGAAAAGAAATACTCTTACAAGTAAAAATCCGTATAATAATTGATGTTACAATTTACCACTGTAGATTAATGTTTGTTAAATGTTTCTTTCAGATCTTGAACTTTACAATGAAGCTGTGAAAATTATTCTTGATTTCCGTCAGTTTTTTCCTTGGGGTGTATAATTGGATTGATCTTGATGAAGTATTTATGATTGCAAATAAGCTACACTGAAGATTATTAAAGGAAGCCCCTGTGAGCTCCAACATCTAATTTCTTCAATTTAATTCCAAACATAATATTAGATATTCTAATGTCATTTTTGTTGGAACTGTATATTGACAGTTCTTATCTAAGCCTTCATAAGGAGAAGAAATTTTCACTTCTCCATCATGTGGCCAAATCTGATGCAGGAACAAAGCAATTTCCTGAGTTTAGTTTTTTATTAATAAAAGTTAAATTGATCAGTACTTTCGTTCACTTCATTCTTTTAGTCATGTATTCAGGCACAAACTTGGAATTTCATAGTTGTAAGGTCAGGACTTAGACCTACCAAACGGAATAGTGTTGTGTTAAGTATTATTTGCTACCTCATGAACTATACCATGTTAATTACTCTCTTTGCCCTCTGTTAAAACACGATTTTAATTAGTTAAAAAGATAAATAGACCCTATATCTTATGTAGTTTTTTAGTACCTCCATTAGTCAGGGTTCTCCAAAACAGCAGAATCAATAAGATACATATATATAGATAGAAGATGGTGTACTTTACTTAGGGAGGCAAACAAGTCCCATTGTCTACCATCTGCACTGGAGAAATAATACAGTCTAAGTCGAAGGCCTGAGAATCATGACTCTGGTATAATTCTCAGTCTAATGACAAGACCTGAGACCTAGGAAGTCAGTGACATGGGTTCCACTGAAGGTCAGAGAACCAGGAGCTCTGATGGCAGGGCAGGAAGTAGACATCCCTGCTCCAAGAAGAGTAAGCAAACTTGACCTTCCTCTACTTTTTTGTTCTGTTAGGGGTTGGGAAGTACCTACTAACCCACTTTGGTAAGGGCTCACTTCTCACGTAGTCTGCTAATGTAGACGTGCGTCTCTTGTAGATACAGTCTCAGATGCAATCCAGAAATACGTAACTATTACCTGGGTATACCTTATCCAGTCAAGTTACACATAAACCATCAGAGTAGCTCTGACCATTTTAAAATTGTGTTTACTAGTGCCAAATGGCACTGAAACAGTAGGAGTATAGTGAGACTGAATGAAACTGCCCTGCCACTAGGGACATCTTAATCATTAAAGTAGTTGATAGAATCATTTGATTCTATTTGCCTTCCTTTTAACTTCCTTTCTTTCTATCCTTACTCGGAGTTATTGTTTACTGGTATTTCATACCACCAAGTAATGTTGCTGGTGAGCAGGAAGGATGTGGTAAGTTAGGATAGAGTGATCAAAAACTGGTAGACCTATATGGCCAGTTTGGCTTGACCCATTCTCTTGTGTGAGGAAGAACAACTAATTCTAAATCCACTAAAATTATAAATTATGCCCAAAATATTTTAAATTGATATCTTTAATTTCTACATTTACTTCAAAATATACTAATTCCTTTAAGAACACCACCATAACTACTTCTGATAAAAAATACTATGATGGCCCTCCCTGGTGGCGCAGCGGGTTAAAGCACTGCACTGAGAAACTAAAGCCACTTCCGCATGAGTTCAATCCCCACCTGCCCCGGAGGTGACCACATGGCGTGGCAGACCTCTCCTGGCCTGCCTGCTGCTCCCCTCA